ACCTGAGCATAGCCTTTAGTCACAGGGAACATCCCCTCCCTCACTTCCCTTCTCTCCATTTGCTCCTTCCTCTTCCAGATTCCTAACTCTGGAACTTTCTATCAGCTGGTGCATAGGCCTCAGGACAGAGGCCTGTAAGAGGCAATGTTGCTGCAGCAGCTCACACTCCACTTGGAGCAGGCTTAGATGGTGCCTTGTTCAGTCACCTCTCAGCCAGACACGGTGGGGAGGCAATTCATAGCATCAGCTGCATCCAGTAAGGCTTCCCAGTGCCTTCCTTTCCTCTGTATAAACCCGTTTTCTCCTGAACGTGAAATGTTTCCATGCATTTAAAACTGTTGCCCAATTAGGGTCCGCACTCTGGAGCAGTTGAGCCAATAAAATGTACTCCAAATCAGAAAGAGAAAATTTGTTTAGGAGGTGGCACCAACAGGGAGTCCGACAGCAACGCAAGCTGTCTTTATGGAGTCCAGAAAGGCAATTTTACATTAAAGCTTATATAGGATTTTTACAAGGGTTAGAAGTGTCTTTGTAGCTCGCACATGGCATGGCCACAGGAGTTATTCATTACAAGATATTACAAGAGACTCTTTATCAGACTAAAGAGATACATGCCAGACTTCTCCTTATCAGGCTAAGATTTACAGACCATACATACATCTGGGCTCTTATCTTTACGTAGGTGGTCTTAAGTCACAGGTAGCCAGACAGAACAAAACAAAGTCATAAACCAAAGTATGCGGAAAGGAGAAGGCAGGCAGGAGGGGAAAAAAAACTTGCAGGTTCATCATGGCATTAGTTATGTCAAGCTCTCAATCACCCATTTTGAAAAGGAGAAAACATGTTGTGGAGTATTAGCGTCACAAAATTAAAGTTGTATCACTTGTCCTAACATCTGATTTACCCTATTTCAGTCTCTGTGACTTTTCTTTCCATGGATATGTTCCGCTGTTCATGTTATACATCCAAAGATTTTATTAATGGAGACCAGAACTGCTTTCCTTGTTTAAAAAGTCAATAATGCCTATGTTAAGGAGACTTCTTTAGGTGGTTATTAAAAACATCACCTTGTAACTTTTAACACAGACACTTCCTTTGTCTCAAAAACACTGGCATTATCAGCATCAATAAAAGTATAGGAAGAAAGCCATTTAAACTTTCTATTCTTCTCTTATACTTAATTGTCTGATTGCCATGCTAGTTTCATAGATGTGAAAGAAAAAAAAGACATTATAATACATAAAATCTCCTAGCATAACGGTGATAACAACAGTGATACCAGCTGCTGAGCTCTTACTGTGATCCGAATACACTGCAAAGTCTTTTATACACATTCCTCATTTAATCCTCTTTTTTCAGATAAAGAATCTCAGGCACAGAGTTGTTAACTATTTTGCCAGTATTACGCAGAAGAACTCGACCAGGACTAAATGACTTCCCTTTAACACAGTGCCAAGTTAAGTCAATCTTATCAGAACATCAAAGCAGAAAATCATACTAAAGCAGGAAAGAATCAAAGGAAAAATATACCAAATGCAAAGCATAATTTTCCTTCTTTAGACATAAGTCACTCACAAATCTGTATCCCCAAACCAGATTCCTCTCATAACTCAATACCTGAATTTCCAGCTGAAACCTCAAACTAAATATGTACAAAATTGATGTTATCATTTAACAACAGCCAAGTCCCTGTTCTCCAAAAAATCAACTCCTTGTTCCTTCTCCTGTAAGCCTTGTCTCTGTAATAATAATACCACCACTATCCACCAAGTCCATTAAGCTTGGATCATCTTTGATTCTCTCTTCCTCATTCTTCTTCAGTCCCACTCCTCTTCTAGCCAGCCCCTAAGTGTTGGCTGATTTTTTTTTTTTTTTTAATCAATCCTACCTTCTAGAAATGTCTTTAATTCCCTCTTTCTTTTCCATCCCTAGCCATCGTCTTAGTTCAGTGCCTCATCATCCCTCTCTCACCTGGACCATCCTAACAACTTTTTGCTTGGTCTGTCTGCCTCTCTAAAATCCCTCTGCAGTGAGTCACTTCTCTTTCCACATTCTATCTTCAGAACAACCACAAAGAGTTTTCTCACATTATAAACATGGTTATGCTAATTTCTTCCTTTATATCATTCATTGAAATGCTTTAGGATAAAATTCAAACTCCCTGGCATACAAGGCTGGTTCTTCACAACTTGACCCCAGCCTGCTTTCCAAGCCACACAAGACCGCTCACTCTTCTCCATCCATACTCTCCTCCTTCTCTTCCCACATCACCTTCCTAGAATGCCCTTTCCCACAGGAGATCGCGGTTGTCCTCCAAAATCCAACTAAAATGCCACCTCCTATATGGATCTTTCCCCAGTTCCCATACGAAGGGCTGCCTGCTTCCTTCTCTGTGATTAAAGGCATTGTGTATCATAAGCATGTGGCACATTATTTTGTGCATATTTACCTCCATATATAGGCTCCCATGTGTCAGAATGGACTCCAGAGCAACTGATTTGTGTGTGTGTCTGTGTTTGTGTGTGTGTGTGTGTGTTTATACCCACCCCAGAGCATAAGCTTCTAAAGGCAGGACCTGGAACTTGATCCCACTGGATCACTTTTTCACTACTTATAATTTAGATGAAAGAGAGAAAAGAAGACTTCTTTCTCCCATCCTAAGGTGAACATCCAAGGGGTTTACTAAAATTCATTAAAAGTGTTTGCAATTTGTCCTGGTCTTTGACTTACTAAAAGTAGGTGGAAATATAAAAAATAAAATCCAGGGAATGCCTTTTGGTTTCAATTTAAAGAAAAGATCACTGAACATCTCATATAACTTCATTATTACCTGATCCAAATAAGGCTCATAAATATTAACTTATTCTATGAATGTTTACTGTACACCTGTTACATTCCAGGTATTGACTCAAGGGGAAAAAAGTCCCCAAGTATAACTGAACTTCTTTACACTACAACTATGCACAACCAAAACATCTCTGTAAAGAAATCAAATATAATTACTTTATCTGGAAATTTTTGCTTTTGCTGACACATGGTGCCAAATCTCCAGATTTTAGGAAATATCTGAATAATTAAAATTTTTAGTTCCTGATTATTTGGGGTGTTTCCCATGGTATAACAAAATGCCATGATATTTCCCAAGAAACTTATAACATGATGAAGGAGGCAGACCTATTACAAAGTAAAAAGGCAGCGTGGTGTGGTAGAAAGAGCACCGACTGGGAGTCATGACTGCTAATACTAGTTGTGTGACCTTGGGGAAATTAGTTAATATGTTTGGTCTCAACATCATCTTTGGTAAAATGAAGCAGTTGGACTAGAACCTCCAGATTGTGGGTCTTCAATTGCTTGTTTTAGCTGCCCTTGAGTGGACCCCTGACTCATGGCGACTCTACGTACAATGGAAAGAAATGTTATAATTGGTTGCAGATTCGGCCATCGTGATCCATAGGGGTTTCTATAGCTGATTTTCAGAAGTAGATCACCAGGCCTTTCTTCCTAGTCCGTCTTAGTCTCAAAGCTCCGCTGAAATCTCTTTAGCATCACACCAACATGCAAGCCTCCACTGACAAATTGGTGGTGACTGCACATAGTGCATTGACCAGGAATTGAACCCAGGTCTCTTGCACGGAAGGCAAGAATTCTACCACCAAACCACCGATGCCCCTCTTAATTGCTACATGTAGAATAATCGTTATGTGTATGGAGCACCAACCCAGCCCTACCTTTGGTACCTAGATCAAAGGTAGCAGCCAGAATCAGAGTGATTAGAGAAGAAAAAGATGTGAAGAAATGATTGCAAGTTGAAGGTCTAGCTTTGGGGAAACCTGTTACTACAGAATGTGAACCCTGATAGGTAGAGCAGATGAATAATCAAGTCCACCTTGGGGTTTGTTTTTTGTTTTTTCATATAATTCAAGAGGAATTGGGAACAGTGTTGACCACAAAGAAAAGAAATAATCTGATTAAAAGGAGACTTGAAGAAGGGAATTCTTTTTTTTTTAAGTAAGGTTACCAGCATGGATTACATTTTATTTTTTAATTGTGCTTTAAGTGAAAACTTACAGTTCAAGTTAGTTTCTCATACAAAAATTTATACACACATTGATATGTGACCATAGTTGCTCTCCCTACAATGTGACAGCACACTCCTCCTTTCCACCCTGGATTTCCCGTGTCCATTTAACCAGCTCCTGTCCTTTTTTGCCTTCTCATCTCACCTCTGGACAGGAGCTGCCCATTTAGACTCATGTATCTACTTGAGCTAAGAAGAACTCTCTTCACGAGTATCATTTTATGTCTTATAGTCCAGTCTAATTGAAGAAGGGAATCCTTACTGCTTCAGCTAAGGTGCCTACAAGGTGAGAGGGTAGAACCCAGGTTCTGCGCTGACCGCTGACCGAACCACAGAGCAGCACCTTCACCTCCCACCCCTGCATCTTTCTCTTCCATACAGGACCACGGGATGTTGGCAGCCTTCTACTTCTTAACTTCGGTGACTGTTATAGAGTGTTTGTTTTATAATTTAATAATTACAATTAAATAATCATCTGTTTGTATTTTTGTGCATGTTTTATACATTACAAACTCATTTTAAAATCTTTTAAAGATACATGGTACAATAGTATCCCACACGATGCTCCCAAAAATCTAACACTGAGAAAACATGCCTCTCCGAATAGTAATTTGCTTCTGGCAATTAAACTGTGTTTTCTCACTGATTCGATTTATTCAGCAGACAGAAAAAAAAAAAAAATCCTTTGAAAGACAAATACATTGCTTGCCTCCTGCCAGTAAGAATATACTACTTCCTCGTTGTCATTAATGAAAAATAACATACACTTTCAAAGTTCTGTAGACACTGAAAAGAAAGAAAACACTCATATGAGTCACCTATTTCCACATTCAGGGCTGAGAAGCTATATAAATATCTCCAGCCTCTGGCAGAAAACACTAAACCACCATAAGTCTGAGAACAATAGTCCCTTGATGCAGCTATGTGGCTTGTGGTGCTGGGCGCCGTGTGTCTACTGCACAGCAGCCTGGCCCTGCCGCTGCCCCAGGAGGCAGGAGGCATGAGTGAGCAGCAGTGGAAACAGGCTCAGGTATGTTGAAGCCCACTTGCCTCATTGGGCCTCGGTGGTCTTGCCATCACCAATAGGAAGCATGTTTTTCAGTTATTTGTCCTTCCATGTTAGTACTGCGATGTATTTTCTTTTCAGTAATTTTTCTGCTTACAAAAGCAATGCATGCTTTAATTAAGCAGCAGTTAAGAGGAGGCTTTAGAGGTTTCTCAAACTGGTTTCAACTCCTCCACTCACTGTGTAGATGAATTTAGGACTGTTATTAAACTTCTCTGAGCATCAGTTTTCCAATTTGGAAGCTGGAGATAATAGGAGTGTCGATGAAATAAGAGTGTTGTGATGCATTTAGCACAGTGCCTGCAACAGTGTTCATACTCAATAAAGTTGTTATTGTTGTTATTACTTATTATAACTTGAGATTCTTTTCATAAAGAGCATGGAGTATTGTCCCTTAAGGTGACGGCTACCTATAAGGGAAAGACTTGAAGTCAGAAGAGGTAGGTAGAAGTGACAACTTTCTATTTCAAGTCGATGATGGTGGGCAAGGCCTGACTTCTAACTCTGTTTTCTCATGTGTTCGATGGGAATAATAACACTATGTGTTTTATACCTCACAGGATCAGTCTAACAAATACATGAAGCTATAATGCCAACTAGCATGTTGTAACAGTTACAGATTGTAAAGCACTTCCTTATACATAATGTCATTCAGTCTTCAGCTGGGAAAAAGAGGAAACCAAAGTTAAGTTGATTCAGATACTTGCTAGTGGCAGAGATTGGAGTCAGGAACTAGTTCTCTAGCTTCAAAAACCATGTTCTTTCCAATATACTACTCAATAAGCAGTGTAGTAAGTGTAAATAATTATCATTTGGTAAAATAATGGAATGTTTACCCTGAAGTATTGTTTATAAAGGTAAGAAAAGTCAAGTTCTATTTCATATTGACTTTTAAAAAGTCCCAGTGATAGACTGAACCACATGAAATTATTATTATTTTTTTTTACCTTCAAAACAGCAATTACATATGGTGCAACCTAATGGATTCTCCAAAATGAATACATTTGCAAGAGCATTTGGCCCCTTCACTTATCATACTGATGATTAACAAACTAGAGGGTGGTCAGTTAGGTTTAACAGAGGCAGGAAAATTCATCCCAAGGACACAGGCACATTTCTTGCAGAGTATGTCTTTGTAAAGTCTGTAGCTCTGGAAGATTAAAATGGGTTATTTGTTTTTAAAATAAGGGTTTAATTCCTAACTGCCATGGATGAACAATAAGTATTTGTTGTATTGAATGAAACACAGTCATTGGTAACAGGGAGAGAGGGCACCATATTAATAAGGTTACTTACATAAAGTGAATACTCCTGAGAGGTTCTGAGACAAGTAACCCTTACCATCTACTCCAAAATACACTGCAGATTAGTGAGCCAATGTTTAAACCATTCCAACAACAATACTATCATGCATTATAAAACCCTTTACATTTTTCTAACAAAATGGGCTTTGGAATCGGAATACTTGAGTTCAAATACTGACTCCTTCAGTTACTCATGGGATGACCTTGTGCAAGTTATTTTACTTCTTTGAACCCTGCTGATTCATATATAAAATAGAGATAACAATGCCATATATTCCTCACAGGGTGGATATGAGGTTTAAACGAGATAAGTATGTAAACCTGCCGGGTGCACCGTTGGTGCTTAATAAATGTTATTGTGAAGTTGCTGCTGTTGTTATTTCATGCATTTTTTGTTTGTTTTCATGTGTTTAGGCTGCTGCACTTCCATCCTTTAAGAAATTCCCAGGGACCCAGTTGAGCTTGGAATAGGTCTGAGAGACCTGCTTTATCCTGCAACTCCCCAGAAATCGGTTTTACTAGGGATTTAACAGTGGAACGGGCACTGGACTGGGAGTTAGGAAACTTGAGGTCCAGTTCTGCTACTCATATAATATGTGAACCTGGCAAATCACTTCACTGCTATGAGCTTCAGTTTCTTCACCTTAAACTAAATAATCTAGAATGATTTCCCAGGGCTAAAATTTTAAGACCCTCTAACCCTAGCTGGGACCAGATCTCAACAGAATCTTAGGTGGGCTGGTTGACTTTGGATCTCCCCCACAAATCCTATGATGCTGAGGGAAGGTCTCCGTTGTGCCCCTTGTGGACATACTAGGGTACTCTTCATGACCGGCCCTTACAAACAAGTCTATGTTTTATAAAGTGTACAACGTGGTTTTCCTTGAAACATCTAATGGGACAAAACAGAAATTGAGGGCCTCTTCTCTTTTGCTCATGAAATGGGATGACAGTGCTTCATTATCAATATTAAATATTCTCCCCACTAATGCATATATATTTAATTTGGTGACAATGTAACTATTCTGCCTTCAAACCAGTATTTGAATCCACAGGAATCCGAGGCAAAAGACATGCAGACTTCTAAGATAAAAGAAGAAAATAAACAAGAATCTCAAATCACTCTCTTTTCCATAGAACTATCTCATGAGATTTTATTCGCGTGACACCAAAGCAAGAGATGACAACAGTATAGAAGTCAAACTCAAGAAGATGCAAAAGTTCTTTGGCCTGCCTGTAACTGGAATATTAAGCTCCCATGTCACAGAAATAATGCAGAAGCCCAGATGTGGGGTGCCAGATGTTTTAGAATACTCACTGTTCCCAAAAAGCCCAAAATGGACTTCCAAAGTAGTCACCTACAGGTTAGTTCTGCATTGGCTCATTTTGGCAAACACAATAAAGTCCTTTACCTAAGAGATTAAATAATGTTTTTCTGTTTGCTGCCAGGGTCCTATCATATACTCGAGACTTACCACGTGCCACAGTGGATTCGTTAGTGGCAAAGGCCTTAAACATGTGGAGCAAAGAGATCCCACTAAGCTTCAAGAGAGTTAGCTGGGGAACTGCTGATATCAGGATTGGCTTTGCCAGAGGAGGTAAGATGCGTTAGGCTAATTCTGTGTGCTATTTTATTTGTTTGTTGTTTATATTAGTGCCCTCTTCATTCCAGGATTTAAAACCTTTAATGATATATTTTTTCAGCAATATGATTACACTTTCTCTGTTCTGTTCATTTAGAGCCATTTTTTATAGAAGAGTTGGCAAAGTACAGACCATGAGCCAAATCCAGCCACTGCCTGTTTTTGTAAATGAAGTTTTATTGGAACACAGCCACAGTCCTTTACCTATTCTCTATGACTGCTTTTGGGCTACAATGGCAGAGTCGAATAACTGGGACAGAGACTAGCCACAAAGTCTAAATTACTTATCATCTGGCCCTTTACATAAAAAGTTTGCCAGCCCTGTTTTGCAGCTTGAATTAGATATGTTGTTAGGTTGTTGCTGTTGGATGCCACGATCCCATGTGACATAGTAGAACTGTCCCATAGGGTTTTCTAGGCTGTAATCTTTACAGGAGAAACCCTGGTGGCATAGTGGTTAAGTGCTATGGCTGCTAACCAAAAGGATGGCAGTTCAAGTCCACCAGGCGCTCCTTGGAAACTCTACGGGGCAGTCACTCTGTCCTGTAGGGTCGCTGTGAGTCAGAATTGACTCTACAGCAATGGGTAATCTTTACAGGAGCAGATCACCAGGTCTTTCTCCCATGGAGCCACTAGGTGAGTTCAAACCACCAATGTTTGGCAGCCGAGTATTTAACTGTTGCCCCACCATATATAATATATGTTGTTGTTAGCTGCCATGAAGTCACCCCCAACTCATGGTAACTTCATGCACAACAGAAGAAAATGCTGCCTAATCCAGCACCATCCCCATGATCGGTGGTAGATCAGACCGTTTTTGTGATCCATAGGGTTTTCATTGGCTGATTTTTGCAAGTAGATCACCAGGCCTTTCTTCCTAGTCCATCTTAGTCTGGAAACTCCACTGAAGCCTGTTCAGCATCATAGCAACATGCAAGCCTCCACTGACAGATGGCTGATGGCTGTGCATGAGGTATATTGGCCAGGAATCGAACCCGAGTCTTCCTGTGGAAGGCAATATATAGATCTCTCTATATATATTTATAAATTTCTAATATATCTAGGAGCCCTAGTGGTGCAATGGTTAAGCTCTCAGCTGCTAACTGAAAAGCTGGCTATTCCAACCCACCCAGTGGCTCCTCAGGAGAAAGACCTGGTGATCTGCTCCCATAAAGATTACAGCCTAGAAAACCCTATGGGGCAGTTCTACTGTGTCACATGGGGTTGCTATGAGTTGAAAACTGATCTGATGGCACCTAACAACAACAGCTAGCATTAACATGAAACCAGGAGAAAGATTTACAGCTTCCAAAAGGCTTCAAGTGGTCTCTAAGAGTTAGGACAGCCTGTGGCCTGCTGCCAACTCCCTTCAAGTAGAAAAAATGTAGAAAATGGAGAGCTTTCATATTAAAGGCCTTAAAGAGATATAGCACATATTCATGAACTGCTATTAATTGCTAGTGTTTCATGATGCAAATTTAGACCAAAAAATTGTTGGCTATTTTGGTCTGTTCCAATATTAAACTGCCTGTGTACTATGAATTTAGCTAAAATTTGAACTTCAGCCATAATATTGACAACACCGAAGCAAATGTTATAGAAAGCGTTAATCATGGTACCAGACATTTTCTAAGAACTGGATAAGGCCTGACACCAATTTGAAGATAAACGGCTCTAGATCACCAGTAGGACTATTAAAAATTTATTTTTTTTAATCAAACTATGACACACACTTTTTTACCGACAGATAAGTCTCTCTTTCAAAGTCTAGCTACATTTTAGACACAATTACACGATCTTGGTCATTTGGGTTTCTTGTCAATAGTAGATAAAAAGTAGTCATTTTAAAGAGGGAGAAAAAAAAGCAGCTTCTGGAGGCAGACACTGTGTCTTACTCATTACTCTACCCCTTAGGGTTGGCATAAAATGGTGCTCCAAAAATATTTTTGATAGATGGATCAATGAACAGGGAGCAGTGGCGAGAGCTGAGATTAGGCAGGTGTACAAAGTGAGACCCAAAGGTCTCACTTGTTTGCTCTATGGAGGAACTTCGGTTTTATTACCTTAGGCTAGTTGTTGGTTGCCCGCAAGACAATTCCATCCTTAGGCTAGTAGTGGGTTTTTTTTTTTTTTTTTTTCCATTAAAAAATGCATACACAAATTATTTTGTGACATTGGGTGCAACTCCTGCAATATGCCAGCACTCTCCCTCTTTCCCTTTCCACCTTGGGTTTTCCATGTCCATTTGTCCAGTTTTCCTGTCCATTCCTGCCTTCTCATCTTTGCTTTTGGGCAGGTGTGCCCATTTAGTCTCCTATACTTGATTGAACTAAGAAGCACATCTCTTACATGTGTTATTGTTTGTTTTATAGCTCTATCTAATCTTTGGCTGAAAGGTGGACTTCAGGAGTGGCTTCAGTGCTGAGTTAGCAGGGTGTCCGGGGGCCATAGTCTCGGGGGTTTCTCCAGTCTCTGTCTGTCAGACCAGTAAGTCTGGTCTTTTTTTGTGAATTTGAATTTTGTTCTACATTTTTCTCCCGCTCTGCCTGGGACTCTAGTTCTTCTAGGCTCAGGCTGGTGGAAGCTGTGGTATTTGTGGTCCATTAGTCCTTTGGACTAATATTTTCCTCGTGTCTTTCGTTTTCATCCTCCTTTGCACAATAGATGTATCTTAGATGGCTGCTCACAAGCTTTTAAGACCCCAGATGCTACTCACCAAAGTAAGATGTACACCATTTTCTTTATGAATTATGCTAGGCCAACTGACTTAGATGTCCCCCGAGACCATAGTCCCCTGTCCTCAGACCCAGTAAGCCAGTCCCTCAAGGTGTCTGGATGTGTCTAGGAAGCTTCTATGACTTTGCCTTGTTCAAGTTGTGCTGACTTCCCCAACATTGTGTGTTCTTTCCCTTCACAAAGTTAACACTTGTCTGCTATCTAGTTAGTGACTTCCCCTCCCATCCTCCCCCACCCCCACCCCCACCCCCCCGTAACCAGTAACCATCAAAGACTGCTTTTTTCTGTGTGTAAACCTTGTCTTGGGTTGTTATAATAGTGATCTCATACAATATATGTCCTTTTGTAATTGACTTATTTCACTCAGCGTAATGTAAAAATTCATTTTAAGAGACCTTAAGCATAGTTCTCCAAAAGACTGCCCACTATACCCGCAAATAATAAACTACGTTTTTAAGAAAAATTATACTAATGGTACACAAGTTACTCGCTGAATGCAGTACTCACACTCATTCTTCCTCCCACCACCATCTAGCCAACCAAAGTGATCAAATTTAACAAGCACTGAAATGCAAACTTAAGTTAGATGTAAATGTTTTTCAAGCTTTGTATCCAGTAAGCATTCAATATACGGTGGTTATCAGTGAGGAGCAGTGGTTCTGGGAAAAATAAAGTGCAACACATATGCTGAGGATAAACACCCAAGCCACCTGTGTACGCAATTGGCTGCTTGTAACTGCAATGCAGACAACTTGGATTGGATTTCCTTCTACCCTCAATAAACAGAAACAGAAAAGAGAAAATGGCTGGAGATAAATTCAGTCACTAAGGACAATCACCCTATTTTCTTTCAGCTCATGGGGACTATAACCCATTTGATGGACCTGGAAATACTCTGGCTCATGCCTTTGCACCGGGGCCAGACCTAGGAGGAGATGCTCACTTTGACGAGGATGAAAGCTGGACTGATGGTGGCAAGATTGGTATAGCATTCCATATCTCTTCTACTATACATTTTTTTAATCCCAAACTTCTTATACTAACTTTACTTTTGTAATTGTTTTAATTTATAATATTTATTGAGTCCTCGCTAAGTGCCAACCTCTGTACTATAGGCTTTAAACCCATTACCTCATTTAACATCCTCATAATGCTACATACACAGAAGACAGAAGCTCAGGCTATGGCATCAAGCACTATCAGGTTCAATTTTCTGTACCTCTACCAATCACTTACTGTGTGTCCTTGGGCAAGTTGTTTGAGTTCTCTGAGTCTCAGTTTCCTCATTTATGTAATGAGTATATAAATAGCCCTGCCCCAGGGTTGTTTTTAGAATTAAATGAGATAATGGTTACATCGTGCTCGGCACAGTGCTTGGAATATATAAAGAATTCAATAAATTACAGTTCTTTCTATACATTTCCCAAAAATGAATTTTTAAAATGGAGGAGAAAGAGAAGCCAAGGTGCTGTGATATTTAAAAATTTAATGGTGGTGGCTGTACAACATTGTGAATATACTTAATGTCACAATGCCACTGAACTGTACATTTAAAAATGGTTTAAACGGCAAACTTCATGTTATATATATGCTTGTATATATATACATATATATGTTTTTTACCACAATTTAAAAAAAATTACATACAATTCTTGGCTTACTCACTATTGTTCACGTCAAAAAGAACCAATACAATGACCCAGCCCACCACATTCACCCCTTTACAGAGTAGATCACAGACACATCAGAGAATGAAAGGAGAGGCGCTCTGGCATAAATAATCCTACCTGGAGACAATTCTTAAAAAGTCGCTACTCACTGACCCTGAAAGAGAAGGTAGTACTTGTGTTTGGCAGTGGAGATTCACCAAAATTCAAACAAAGTAGTGATGATGCCTTGCTGTAAAAATCTAACCTACATAAAAATTGAAAGGTTGCCTTTTTTTCTCATCTTGCATATATTTTCATGCTTTTTTCTTCCTACTCAAGGTAAGTTAAAGTTAGCTTCCTTCAATCTAATACAGCTGGAGCTCTAACCACTGCTCAAACTCAAATACTTATACTTTCCCCTTATTTGCAAAGCCTTTCTTTGAGTCCTCAGGAGAGAAAAGGATATCCGGTTGCCGTTAAGTCAGTTCCAACTCGAATATGTAATACAGTTTAATGAAACAGAAAACAAAAACAAAACCCAGCATTGCCTGGAGATCCTGCCTTTCACTTTTGGCTTCTAAAAGCCAACTTTCTCTCTTCTGATATTGAGAGTCACTATCATTTATTGAATAGCCAATATTTTCCAGATACTGGGCAACTCTAATCATTATGACAAATCTGCAAGGTGGGAATTATTCTCTCTGTTTAACAGATGAGGAACTGAGACTCGATATCAATTAATTTGTCCAGAGTTGCACCTGGGCCAGGCCTATAAGGAGATGCGGGGTTTCAAATCTAGATTTTAATGCCTCTAAAGCTTTTACTTTCCACTACAGAGTAGCCTGCCTGAGTAATTACATAAGAAGCAAACAGGCAGAAAAACATTACATTTTTTTTTAAAAAAAGCAGAAGTGGTGATGAGATTTAAGCACTACTGTTCTGGTTCTCCTTTTATCCCATCCTCTCCTTTGAAGGCCTAGAGACAAATAAGTAAACTACGGAGGATTGAGAGTTGGGCATTTCTACAGTTACTGCATGCTACTTCTTCTGTTGTAGGAATTAACTTCTTGTATGCCGCAGCTCATGAACTTGGCCATTCTTTGGGGCTGGGCCATTCATCAGATCCTAATGCAGTGATGTATCCAACATACGCAAATGCAGATCCCAAGAATTTCAAACTTTCACAAGATGATATCAAAGGCATTCAGAAGCTATATGGTAATGCTTATAACTTCAAATAAGGGGATTTTACATTGTCTCTTTAGGTTGGGCTTGCAAGAGAAAGGTTGGGAAATAGCTACTTAGCTGGAAAAACACATTGGAATGTAAATCCAAAAGCCTATTGAGGGAAGAAAGTGGAGACCATAGATATTCAAAATTTACAGGCTATTTTAAAATATGAGGATGCCAATTTTAAATTTTCAGGACTACGACATTATTTGGTGAAATGATGAAAATAAAACTATCAGGGTTTTTTCAAGCTGCTCATCCATTTTAATGCCTTGCTCTGTTTAAATACTTCAGGAGAGCCTGCCCCCGCAGGAGTGGGCTAAAGGAACATAACACCTTCCTTCTTAGCTGCCCATTCTCAAGGATTTGGCCCTAGATGCCTGAAAGTGATCCAGTGTTTCCTGCTTGCATATATATGTGGGGGAAGGGTTAATCATGGACAATGACTGCTTACAGCTGCTAGTCCTGAAGCTTATGAATAGCCCTAGCATCCCATGTACCAATCCACCCTTTTTTGTGTTCAAGTCTCTAATTCAGTACAAAAAAAAGCTGATTTGCCTGATCAATTCAGAAATAGTAAGATGAGAAATTATATCAAAAAGCAAGGATAAAAGTTATGTCTCTGCAGAAAGATGAGAAAAGTAAAGTTCAAAGAGACTAACTATCCAAGGTCACACGGCTACCAAGTGCTTGAACAATGGTTCCGAGCTAGAACTGTGTGAATTCGTACTCTTCCTACTACACCTGTCTGCCTATCACTACTTGGTAAGTTTTTAAAAGTAATCCAGGAGAGAGAATACAAAATGACATCTTTAGGTCTGCAGCTATACTTTCATTAAGCTTTTTCAGAAAAATATCAGGATGATAAGCATACGCTGCAAACAGATTACATGAGTACTGGATGATCAGAAAAACAAGGGCAGCGCTTCCACATAATAGTGTTCTTAAGAGAAATTATTCCTAACAGATATTTGACCTAAACTATTTGTTTCATTGTATAGCAGTGCTAAAGCATCTTCCCTTACCACAGAAACAGTGCTCCTAAATATAAAAACGTTTTACCATGGAATGAAAATTTTAATTATTTCTTTAACATTTATTGAAGTCTACCAATTACAAGTAGTTACTGAACTTAGAATTTATTATAAATCAACATTTCTTATACTGTGTTTCCCAGAACACTAGTCCCCCGAAAAGTCAATCCCCCAAAAAAGGACGCTATGGAGAAATAAATTCAAGAAATACTACCTATGTATTTCAGATGAATAGGATGTAAAGACTACTGAACAAACATTGTCTAATCCAGTGTTTCCTAAATTATAACCCGTTTTATGGAACACTCGTTGAGACCCCACAGAATAGCATTTTAGAGAACACGCTTGGGAAAATGCTATGTAACTATACCCTAAAGATCTGATTCAACAAACTGCTACAGTCAGAAAGCTCACAAAACATGGAGTATTGGTAAGGTTGTCACAAACAAAACAGAAAACATTACCCTTCCCTTACATAAAACTGTGGAACTCATGGAACATTCTACAGAATTCTATGACTACCTTAGAAGCTTAAGACAAACATGAAGGGAATGAAGTTTCTGAGTCAGACTGATTAAATTTAACAGAAGATGACAGACTGGTACATTAAATCCTTAAGTATTAGAACAAAGAGGTACCCTTACTCAAAGTTGGAAAGAGGTAACTTCTGGACAAAAGAAAGTAGGATATAATTATATTGGTTGTAAACTTAGGGAGTTCATTAACCCAAGAACTAAACAGGAGCAGAAAATATAGATTCAAAAGAAAGTCATTAAACTGATGGATGCAAGATTATTCCCAATGTTTTTTCAGAATAATAAAAATAATACCTAAAATGCATCAAGTACTTACAGTGTACCAAACACTTCTCATTTTAATCCAACAGCCCAATGAAATGGTATTATCCCATTTTGCAGATGGGTAATCTACAACCAAGAGAGGTTAGATAGTAATTTAGCCAACATCACAGAGCTAGCAAAATAGCAGAGACAGGATGCAAAGGCATCTATCTGACCTCCAGGGCCCACACTCATAACCACTATGCAACAGTGCCTTCTTAGCCTTTGGAGGATGTTCTTCAGAACCTTTGTCCCAGGCACAGAACATTGAGCTACGTAAATGATAAACTGTACATACTATTCTATTTCATGCATTTTTATAGTCTTAGGATGACTTCTATGTGTTTCATACCATGTCAGAGTATTCTTATTTTCTCTCTTAACAGGGAAGAGAAGTAATTCAGCAAACAATTAAAAACTTCAGGGAGAACATCCATTCATTCATTGGATTCTATATCATTGTTCCCCAACCAGAATTAACACTATGTCCTGCACTCCATTTGGTACTTACCTCATCCTTCCTTATACTGTGGTTGGTTTTGCATGTCTCTCTCTCCTGTGGAGTACAAACTCCATGGAACTACTGTGTCTCATTCATCTAGACTCTCTTCAAGCAACTTGCACTTGGTACAACTACCCCATTGCCATCAAGTCTATTCCAACTCATAGTGACCCTAAAGAACAAAGTAGAACTGCCCCATAGGGTTTCCAAGGCTGTAAATCTTTACAGAAGCAGACTGCCACATCTTTCTCCCACGGAGCATCTGGTGGGTGCCAACCAATGACCTTTCAGTTAGCAGCCAAGTGCTTTAACCACTGCACCACCAGGGCCCCACTTGCACTTGATAGACTTCAATACATGTTAAAATAAAAAAGCAATTAAAATAATGAAATAATTAAAATTTTCATTCCATGGTAAAACGATTTTATATTTGGGAGCACTGTTTCTGTGGTAAGGGAAGATATTTTGGCTTTGCAATACAATGAAATCAAAAACTAAGACAAAAAAAAAAAATTCTACATTATTTTGGGGTCCTGATTTGAATCTCATCACATCACTACATGGAAGAAGTGGCCACTTTACCTCTTTATTGTTTATAAGTGTAGCCCAAAGTTGTATTAAGTTCCCTTATCCTTTGAGATTTAAATAGTTTTAGCCCAAGCCCTCACTATGAGTCTTCTGGGAAGTTCAATTCTCCCACAAAATGTCAGTGAATTCCCAGGGACTTACATTCTCATAGTCACTTCTGACTCCAGGTTTCTGTTCCTGGGCCTGATTTCACTGCATCTCACCTGCCACAGCTGCTGTGTTCCCTTTCCTCTGCCCCATATGAACTCAGATATTGTCTCTGTCATGGATTGAATTATGTCCCCCAAAAAATGTGTGTATCAATTTGGCTGGGCCATGATTCCCAGTACTGTGTCATTGTCCTCCATTTTGTGATTGTAATTTTATGTTAAAGAGGATTAGGGTGGGATTTTAACACCCTTCCTAAGGTCACATCCCTGATCCAATGTAAAGGGAGTTTCCCTGGGGTGTGGCCTGCACCACCCTTTATCTCTTGTAAGAGATAAAAGGAAAGGGAAGCAAGCAGAGAGTGGGGGACGTCATACTACCAAGAAAGTAGTGCCAGGAGCAGAGCGCGTCTTTTGGACCTGAGGTTCCTGCACTGAGATGCTTCCAGACCAAGGGAAGATCTAATGACACGGACCTTCCTCCAGCGTCAACAGAAAAAGCATTCCCTTGGAGCTGACGCCCTGAATTTGGACTTGTAGCCTACCGGACTGTGAGAGAATAAACTTCTCTCTGTTAAAGCCATCCACTTGTGGTATCTCTGTTATAGCAGCACTAGATGACTAAGACAGTCTCACCCTCTTTTAATTTTCTCCAAACCAGCTCCACAAGGCTTTTGTGATACTGCAGACTTTACTGAAATTCGCATCAGCAATGGGGTCTTACCAGGATCACAATAGAGGTTCCTGGACAGAGCTGGAAAAGGATGTAGAACAAAATTCTAACACACACAAAAAAGACCAGATTTACTGGCCTGACTGGAGAAACCCCGAGAGTATGGTCCCCAGACACCCTTTTAGCTCAGTGGTGAAGTCACTCCCGAAGTTCACTGTTCAGCTGGGGATTGGACAGCCTTATGAAACAAAATGGGACTAATGAGGCACAGCAGTCCAGGGACAAGGACTAGTAGGCAGGAGAGGACAAGCTGGTGATAGGGAACCCAAGGTTGAGAAGGGACAGTGTTGACATGGCGTGGGGTTGTTAACCATTGTCACAGGGCAATATGTGTACTAACCATTTAATGAGAAACTATTTGTTCTGCAAACCTTCATCTAAGGTACAAAAAAAAAAAAAAAAAAAATTATCTATGTGAGATCAAATTGACAACAGCAACTCAAAAGGTTTGATGGGAAACCTGGGGGGCAGTGAGTTGAAGATAATGGTGATGGAATAATTTGGAAAAGGATAGTGAGAATAGCAGCACAACTGGAAGAATGTAATCGATGTCACTGAATTGTACATGTAGAAACTTTTGAAACGGTGTAACTTTGGCTATGAATGTTTTCACCAAAAAAAAAAAGGTCCTCCAAGGTTGAGAAGGGAGCCTGTTGACGTGTGGGGTTGTTAACCAATGTCATAAAACAATATGTGTACTGACTGTTTAATGAGAAACTATTTGTTCTGTAAACCTTCATCTAAAGTACAATATATACATACATATATAAAAATTTTTTTTTAAAAATGGGGTCTTACATTACACAAAGGCAATGAAATTGAACCAAATTGAAATAGGATATTATCCCTATCCTTCAAATCCTTTGGAGTCCCTGGATGGTGTGAACAATTAATGTGCTCAGCTGCTAACTAAAAGGCTGCAGGTTCAATTCCACCCAGAGGCACCTTGAAAGAAAGGCTTGGTAATCTACTTCAGAAAAATCAGTCACTGAAAATCCTATGGAGCACAGCTCTACTCTGATACAAATGGGGTTGCCATGAGTCAGAATCTACTCGATGGCAACTGGACAAATCCTTGACCTACCCCAGCATCAGGAATTTATCACTGGCCATTTACTTCTGCAGGATCTAGCCTCATGCCACATCCTCAGACTCCATTCATTTTTTTTTTCCTAAATTTTATTTCTTTTTGTTGTTGTTGTTGTTGAGAATATACACAGCAGAACATATACCAATTCAGCAGTTTCTACATGTACAATTCAGTGACACGGATTACATTCTTTGAGTTGTACAACCATTCTCACCCTCTTTTTCTGAGTTGTTCCTCCTCTAGTCACAAAAACTCACTACCCCCTAAGTTTGCTATCTAATCTTTCAAGTTGCTATTGTCAATTTAATCCTATATAGACAGATCTTGAAAGAACAATGCTCAAGGCAGATATTCTTTACTAGTTAAGCTAAACTGCTAATTGTTTTTAAGAAGCCTTCAGGGGATATTTTTGGTTTAAGGTTTAAAGATTATCTCAGGGCAATAGTTTCAGGGGTTCATCCAGCCTTCATGGCTCCAGAAAGTCAGGAGTCCGTGAGAATTTGAAATTCTGTTCTGCATTTATCCCCTTTTTAAAGTCTGTTTTATCTGAAATTAGTATTGCCACTCCCGCTCTTTTTTGGTTGCTGTTTGCTTGGTATATTTTTTTCCATCCTTTGGTTTTTAATATATTTATGTCTTTGTTTCTAAGGTGTGTCTCTTGTAGACAGCATATTGATGGGTCCTGTTTTTTTATCCATTCTGTTGGTCTCTGTCTCTTTATGGTTGCATTTAAGCCATTTACATTCAGTGTGATTACTGATAAGTGTGAATTTATTGCTGTCATTTTGTAGTGCTTTTTTTTGTGGTGTTGACATTTTCTTTGTTCCTGTTACTCACCTGTGCTGACTTTCTTTTGTTTGTGGATTCTTTTTTGTTTCTTTTGTTTTTGTAGATTTTGTGTTTACTGAGACTATATTTTTCTTCTTTATTTTGATGAGTAGGTTTATTAACTTTCTTTGTGGTTACCTTGAAATTTTTCCCTATCTTCCTAAGTTTAAACCACTCTTTTATTACTTGATATCACCTTGACTTCCTCTCCATTTGAAAGTTCTATACCTACACCATTTATTCCTTCTTTTATTGTTCTGACACTGTTGTCATTTACAGATTGACCTCTCTGGTTCCTTGTTGTAAATCTTTTAGTTTTGTTTTATCTCAGAGAGTTCATTACCTAGGTTGGTATCTGCCTGATGCTGTCTTCTGTCCTAGATTCAGGCTGTTGTCTGATGTTCTCTAACTGAAGGACTCCCTTTAATATTTCTTATAAGTTTGGTTTGGTTTTTACATATTCCCTTAATTTCTGTTTATCTGGAAATGTCCTAATTTCACCATCATATTTGAGCAAGAATTTTGCAGGATATATTGTTCTTGGCTGGCAGTTTTTTTCTTTCAAGGTTTTATATATGTCATCCCACTGCCTTCTTGCTTGCATGGTTTCTGCTGAATAATCAGAGCTTAGTCTTATTGTTTCCCCTTTGTATGTGACTTTTCATTTTTCTCAAGCTGCTCTCAGGACTCTTTCTTTGTGTTTGGTTTTGGCAAATGTGATTATGATATGTCTTGGTGATTTTCTTTTGGTATCTGTCCTATATGGGGTTCGTTGAGCTTCTTGTATGGTCAGCTTTTTGTCTTTCATGATATTATGGAAGTTTTCTGTCAGCAAATCTTCAATGAACCTCTCAGTGTTTTCCGTTTTCTCCTCCTGTTCTGGAACTCTGATCACATGCAGATTTTTGCTTTTGATTGTATCCCACATTGTTCTCAGGGTTTCCTCATTTTTCTTCATTCTTTGCTCTGATTTTTCCTCAAAGTGGTATCCAAGGATTTGTCTTCAATTTCACCGATCCTGTCTTGCACTGTTTTAAATTTTCTCCTAAAGCCTTCTATTGCTCTGTCCACTTCTGAAATCTTGTTACTTATCTTTTGAATTTCTAATTGCTGTTTTTGTATGATTTCTAGTTGTTTATTTATTTTGAGACTTTGCTCCTGTATTCCTTTCCTGAATTCATCCATTGCTTTGTCTGTTTTTCCTGATTTTAATGGTATTTTCCATGATTTTGTCTATTTTTCCTTATTTTTGTCTGAATTTTCCTTCATCTGTTGGAGAATCCTGAATATTAAAGAGTTCTGAATTCCCTATCAGGTAGTTCCAATGCCTTTTCTTCTACTGAAAGGTCATCTGGTATTTTATTTTATTTTGGTTGCTTTCTGGAGCCATTCTGTCCTTTTTTTTGTATATTTTGATATTGTCTGCTGTCTCCAGGACATTTAGGAATTATTTACTTCATTTATTGATTGTAGATTTGTTTGTTTCATCCTGCTTTTTTGTTTTATTTGGTTATGTCTGGGCAGGCCAGCTGGGCATGTTTTGTTGCTTGTTTGCCTGTGGGCACGATACTTCTCACCACCTTGTCCAGGTGGGCAGGGCTAGTCACTCAGCTATGGTGCAGCAGGGTGGGTCCAGGAGGGAGGGAGAGGTGGGGATGTGTAATCTGTGGCATGAATGGGGACAACGGGGAGGGGCCAGAGGAAATGCAGGATGCGGTCCAGGGGACCATGTCAGTGCTGCTTGGGGGCACGGGGCTTGGTGCATGGTGCAGATAGCAATAGGGAAGGGACAAGATGAGATGTGTGGAGCTAGCTTGGTGAGTAAAAGAAGAGAAAAAAGA